TTGACATAGACACAGATCCCATTGTTGTCTACTGCTTGGAGAAATACCTTAGACAAAAAGCACTGGCTGAGTTACTTTAGATCTATTGTATACCTTTTCTGCTATGAAAATAAAAGAATTTTAAAGGTATATTTAAAATTATTTATATGTCCATTGTAATAAAAGCCTTAGTAAACTAACAAATCTGATCATTAATTCATCATTATAAACAGAAGTCAGTGTGGGCATCGCACTTCTGATTACTGTGCATTGGTGTTTTTGGAAAGACACTTGAGGAGAAACACATCTTTAATGCAGTAAAACATCTTACAACAAATGAATACCTTGTAAGCCACAAACAAATGTATACAAATAAGCTAAGAAAACGGAAAAGAAGACACACCCCAACCTGCACAGTAGGTACAGGTATACTGTACCTCTCCAACCATCAGTCAACATATAGCATTTCTTTGTCACTCTCCAACAAGTTCTCGCACTCGCTTTTACACACACAAACAAACAACCAAGATAAACCAAGATAAAGATTACGATTCTGCCTTCAGGTGAGTAATCAGATCAGAGCAATCTTAAACTGTAGCAACTGAAAGCATGCAACACATTACTGCAGCTACTGATAACTGCTATTTTGCTACCTTTATGATATGATGTTGCAAATATTTTCACAGTGATATACAGTGTTAATAGAACAGCCTACTGACAGCCTCTTAAATATTGGATGAGATGTGGAATGAGATGGTGATATAATATAAAAACCCACTGTGACAGGAGCCGCCTACACTGTCGTTAACTATTCAAAAACCAGCTTGGCTGCTCTGTTACATGCTGTTACAAACTGAACAGGCTTGTAGAGTACAATTATTCTTTCGTCTGTGGATCATATTTTTGTAAAATTACAGTCTAAATAATATCCCTTAACATTACAGTCCATTGACAGAGCTACAGTACAGTAACATTCAAATTGTCCAGGGAACACAAATGTTTATTTGTGAGCAGATGGGCTGTAAAATAACTTCTGTTTGCATGTATTTGGTTATTAGATGAAAGAGCCTCGCTACGGGTTTAGATAATCCACACTTATTACCATGGGTTACAAAAGATACAGATGGCAACTGACAGGGGAGATACATGAATGTAACAAAGTCAGTTAGTAATCTCTCCACAGTGAATTACATACGAATCAAACTATTGTACAAATTAAAGATGAGGTCATAAAAAGGAAGCAAAAGCTACTGAAGTGTAACATACAGTAGTACAGGATAAAGCATCTTCCCTTCAGTACAGCGACAGTCTCTGCACTGTAAATACAGTATTATGTTCCCCTCAGGTTGGTGCTTTCTTCAATGAACAAGCAACTGCCTGATGCTTTGTACCACATCATCTTCCTTTCTAACCCAGTGCTAGTTGTTGGTGTAACAACTACGTGCCATACACATCATGCCGCAGGCTGGCTTATATTCAGATATGCTGTGGTAGAGTACAGCATAATGCAGGGAGAAGATAGGCAGCAGCCAGGTATCTTGCAATTGTCAAACAACAGAGTTCCCCTTCTTGTCGGCTCTGAGTGAAAGATGAAAGAAAAATACTGTTGTCACATCATTAGGTAAATGGCACGCCTCTGCAAACACTATGTAAACTAGGCAAGTTGCAGATGATTTTATGACTGTAACTGAAATGGGACACGAAATATGCCTTTATGTTCATTTCTGAAAAATTCAGCAGTCATTTTGTTCTTTGTGTCTGTTAAATTGACCAGTTCAACAACGGCCTACTACTTACTTAGCTGCTGTGTCTTGCAATTCTGTATCCAGTCTGATTTAGCATTGGGTTGGAAGGCAGAGAGCAAAGGTTAGTGAGGTAGGTAAACAACAGACGTTGAGCTGGGCTGGGGTGGAGGTGGGGGTGGGGGTAGGTTATTGTGAGTACACATGCAGTTGCTTGGGATTTATGACTTCTATCAACATTGCCATAGGGAGGTGAATGGAAGGAAAGGAAAACAAGCATCAGTGCTCTAAAGTGGGAGTGTTCAAGGTCAAAGGAGTGGTTCACAGCTCTGCAATGCAAAGGGTGCAATACTTTTCCAACAATAAACCAGTCAGAAGAGTTAATATTTTACCCCTATACACTTTTTAACAAGCACTGGGTCAAGGTAAATCTGTACTTCTCATACTGTTAAGACATTGCCGCTTAGATAACAGACAGGATTCAAGTTTGAATTAGGTAGCTTTAATTTTTCTCTCCACTCTATTTCCACCAAAGCATCAGCAAGTGTGTGTTTGTGTTTTTTTAGGGGGTCTGTGAGCTGCAAACAGACCCTTTTACCTTTTTACACTAGATCTGGATATAAATGGCTAAATAGGCAATAATTATACATAAAATCTAATGTATAATAGATTATATGGTATTCTATATTCCACAGAGACTGTTCTCACCAGAAAAACAACAGCACTGGTCATTTGTTCTAATGTTTATCTCTAGAGCCAGTGTTTGGTTTGTCCATTCTGGGCTACTGTAGAAACAACTGTAGATATAAAAGGCTCATTCATAACGATTCTTATTTTCAGGTGATTATACACTGGTGAAAACATAATAATGCATATTATACTCCATTTCTGCCAATAGAGCCTCATTAACGTTACACACTGGACCTTTAACCAACTCATTTTATTTTTCCTAAACTTGACCACCCCTTTAAGCCACTATGTAGGATTTGAACATTTTTACTTTGGGGCAGTCTTGTGGTAGTATTGATAAAACCAGACAAATATGTACACTGCAAACCTGATGATTTTATTTAGTATATAGTATTTGCAGTTACTGGTGACTGCTGTTTGATAAAAAAGCTTTGTTTTAATAGTTGAAACTCATCTCACTGGAATATACTGTTAGCGAGCTGCAGTCAAAATACTGTACCTCATATTCTTTTACACTGTGGGAATATTTTGCCAATTATGAGTAAGTTCAGTCTGTAGTACTGGTGTATTGCACATAAATTCTTATTCTTCAATAGCAAAACATCAGACCAGCACAGTTGTGGGACTGACTGTGTGTATTTCTGGTTGTTTTTGCAAGCTACCCCAGGGTATATATGTTCATTAGATTTCTACAAAAATGTCACAGATGAGGGTTGAAGTGAACCAGTTTACAGGGAAAGCCACATGACAGGCTGAGAGGTAAGAAAATCAATAGCTGGCTTATTTTATGTTGGATGAGGAGACAGCCAAAGGTCAGTCAAAGGTTAGTCCCAGCATGAGAAAATTCGTACTAGCTTTGAAGGATTTTTCAGGGAAGATTTTACACAACCAACTGATCAATACAGGCAGGTTAGGTGAGTTACCTCATGCATGCAAATTTGTGTATACCCCTCTCCTCGTCATACCTTGGGGCAGAGTGAAAGATATATAAGCATGTCTAATTTAGGCACTCAGAGTAAAAGTTTGCACTGAGATTGTTTCCCTTCTCCAAGGAGAAATTCAATGTGTATTAATTGAGCAACTCTGCTAAAAAAAAGAAAGAAAGCATTTGGCTCTCTGACGTGATTACAGCAAAAATTTGTATTTGTCATAGACCATGGCCTTAACATCTAGGAAGGACAAAACACACAAAAATATCTGAAGATAATTATGCCTCATGTCTGCAGTTACATCAAATATACTGTATATATTAGGTTTATGTATTTTTTAGTCCACAAACAGCTGCTGGAAACAAAAGACTCTACTAGTTGGTGTAGACGAAGCAAGGTAACATGGTTCATGTGTCACTCTATGGAGACCATGATGCCAGCCTGTCACTTAAAATAAATAAAAAGGGCAGGGTTTTGTGGTATTTATTGGATTTTTTTGAAAGCTAACAATACCACTCAATGACAAAATGATTTTACATGAGAGGAAAAAGTCACTGTGCAGATAGTATTGTTTCGAGCTTGTGTGGCCACCAAAGAGTGAAGTACAGATTCATATATTAAATATTGATACAAGGTGACTCACTTGACAATGCTGGGTGGAATGTGGACATACTCCATTGGGATGATTTCTCCAAGCTCCTGCAAACTATTCACATACTTGATCTTACTGCTGAACTTGGAGCTGTAAAAACACAGAAATCAGAAACAATCAAGATCTGTAATGTGCTCACTGTAATAGGGAAAGTCGGCACCTATATTTCCCTTCTTATCAAACTGTTTTATTGGGAATAGGACCATAAAGGGTGTCGTATCTTGGTTTGGCCGATAATGATATATATAATAACTGATAGTTTTCATAACTTGTAGTTTTTACAAGGTACCCTCTGATGTACATCTTGTCCTGTGCAATGTGTGTTCTACAGTTCAGAGCGTCATCTAAATGTGAAGTACAACAATGAGACCTTATGAAGGGTCTGGTGATTCCCAGCAAAGTCCGTATGAACCAGGAGGGATGGACAATGATGAACATCTTAAGGTTTTTCTTCAGTCTGTGGAACAAGAGGAGAGGCACAAGTGGTTTAAAAAGATTAGTAAGAGCTTAATTAATAACTATAACTTATTACCAATTACTGCTTGCAGATCTAAAGTACACTTTAGAACAGGACAAGACAAGACTTTTCACATTTCCCATTTTGATTGTGTACATGCCAATTAAATATATTTGCTCATTCAAAATGAAGTCTCTCCTGATTGAAATAAAGTGCTATCAAGAGAGTGAAAAGTATTGTCCATGGTATATACACTTTATGTTAACAGTCCCACAATGCAATGCATGTTATAGATGTGACAAAAATCAGTGATGACTGAAAATGAAGATGATTTATGAGTCTCAGAATTTTAATATTTTACGTTGTTAAAATGTACTGCTCACTATGGAGCAAGAACGAAATTTTGATTTCAGAGGTGGGGGGGACACAAGTATTTTTAATAAAACTCTTCAGTTCACTGTGTTTTCTAGTTTTCTATTGCTATTTTAGTTTCTGGTTCCTTTTTGGTTTGATCTGGTTGTAAAGCATGTAGCAAAACATTATCACCCAATTCTGTGTTTCACCTTGTTAGTCAACTTCACTCCAACTCAGGATGGGTGTAACGCATTTCTTTGAGTAACTTACACTTTGACTTCTAAAGAAGTCTCTTATGTCCACTTTTCTTGCAGACCGGTGTGCAAGCAAGATGGAGTGACAGCGGGGACGGCCAATCACACAAGAACCGGCAGAGCCAATCGAGGAGCTTGTGGGCGGGTCTAAACTAAGGGAGACAGGCTTCAGCTTTGGAGGCGGCCCGGTTTTTCCGCTTTTCTAGCTGCTCGGACGCGGTTCTGTTGACTCACTATAGTGTAACATTGTTTATGGACGGTAAAAACTGCAGGGGACCAAAACGGCCTTTTGAAAAAGTGCAGGGGACATGTCCCCTGTGCCCCCCCCCCAAAATTACGTCCGTGGCCAGAAAGCCAAAACAAAGAGCTGACAGACACAGAAACTGAAAGTGACTTGATGATTCTCTGCAGGTTCATCACTTACAGCAACCCCTTTCACATGACATGTTGTCAGCTTATCCGGTTATAATAGAGCAATATAGGTAAAAGCAGCTTTAAATGGTATCTGTTGTAATGAAAA